AATATAACCCTTCGCTACTATCACTAAGAAAAATCATCCAATATTTTGGCAACTGATTACTAGAGGACCATACGAGAATGCAAAGCAGGTGAGGATTTTTTTTCTCGACCCTTCAAGCTTTTTAAACTGATCTCGGAATCTATATTCCTAAATTTATCTACGCTCATGAGCGAATTTTCTTCGTATGGTAATTCTGTTGGGTTATGATCCGCAAAAAGGTTCGGATTTTATTTAGGGTATATTGCAAATTTTTCACCCCCAGATTAACTCCAAAATCACGTTACAGAAATTGAAGTAACTTTACGTTCATAATTCGCAATTTAATTAAATTTAAATAAATGATACATAAAGAATTGATTTAAGAAAAAATTTAAAACGGTAGTCACCATCAGCACGTGATTTAGATACTGTCACACCGCGTCACTCATTTTTATGGATTATTTAATTAAACTATGCGCCACATTAAGCATAGGTGCATCGAATGCATAGTGCACCGTTAAAATTCCTTGATTTAAATACAATAGCAATATTTTGTCCTTTAATTTAAAATGATTTTTTTTTTTTTTTTGAAATAATTAATTTTTAAATAGAGCATATAATTTTCGAAATCATTTTGGCAGTTTTGACAACGCGCAACATATAATTAATTTCTTCCTAACGCCAAGACTAATTATTTATTAAAGGTTGCGCCTAATTTAATTTGTAGACTTTAATGATAATAAAGTCGATCTAAAAAATTAGCATAAAGGATGTTGTTTTCAAAATTGGATTAATTGATTTAGAAAATTTTTTATGATCAATTAAATTTTATTTTCATCTTTGTTAAGATCGTTACCCCCTTTGCCATCATCACCTTTCCACCAAGATATATATAAATCAATGAACTTTTGAATTCATTAATCGCATTAGACGAATCTATGGGAATTGAACGAAAAATTAAGAATGTACAATCTCCTTTCGGACCCATCGAAACTTGTAGAAGACTATTTCCGGTGATTGATAATATTCGATCGAAAAGTTCTTTATTTGTAGCGACATCTATACAACATTGCATTATTCCCAAATGATTTATATTCAATTCGGGAATTTTCTGTTTTCAAACTATTTAAATTTGTAAAGCAAGAAAGCTGTAAACATCGCAAATTTAAAAAAAATAATATCACATATGCTGTATATTCCAATTCATGACTTACTTGCAGAATGAATTCCGTCCGCGCCGACCAAGAAATCTCCTCTCCCTCTCGTACCATCTTCAAAGATAACCCAAACTCCTTCCTCATTTTCATGGTATCCAACACATTTCTTATCCCATTGCACGTCAATACCCTCAAATAAAAAATCTCTCAATCTATCGCTAAAAATTACAATAAATGTAAATTGATTATTTAATTTACTAATTCATAAACATTCTTAACTTGATATCCTGGAGTTTTAAATAATACATTTCCTAAATGATCATGAACCGTTACAACATGATTTTCAATTCCACCGTCAATTGGGTCCGGTACAACTTCATGAAGTCTCGTAGCAATTGATTCCGGAATACATTTTAAAAATGATATTACTCCCTTGCAATGTAATGTAATATGATAACCTTGCCACCGATCTAAATGTTTGAAAAGAGGGAATTAACACCGTGAAAAAGAAGAATGTATACTAAGGTTGCCGGGATGCCGGGCAAAACCTAGAGGTTTCAACAGGTATCGAAATCATAACCGTCGAAACCGAAATGTTTTGACTTTTGCCAAAATGGGATTAGGGTTTGCCCGTAACCATAAAATATACCACATCAGTACCTTGTGGGCTTGGTTCACGGTCAAAGATTTTTACATTAAATTTCTTTTCGATCGTGTTATGATTTTTTTGAATAGAATGCGCTAAAGCTAGCCCACCTGGGCCTGCTCAAATTATAAGGATTGTAGGAAGTTTATGTTCACCCATTTTCATATCATTGAATTTCTTTAAATACGGATATAAATAAAATTTGAGAAACGAAAAAGTTTTATAATTAAAAATTTAAAGCATTAGCACTTTATTAAAAAAAAAAAAAAAAAGTCGATGACTTCAAGGATTAAAATTTCTATGCTAGAAAATATAAAAAGTATGAATGATAAAAAAAAATAATGAATTTTACACGAAAAGTAAATGATAATAATATATATCGTTACTTATAAATTTAATTGGCGATTGTGGCTATATATAAACTTTTATTTATTAATTAACTAGCAATAAGCAAACCTTAAAGCCGGAATCAAGCTGCGCCTATCTTGTAAAGTTTTAATCATATGAATTAAAATTTTTTCGGAACGTATAAAAATTCTTTGCCCTCTCAATCTTTTGCACTATATACTAAACATCATATTTGGTTCTAAGTAAATGATGTTCCGCTGGTTTGTAATATATAATTATAAAACTTTATGTAATTTGGGTTATTATTTGGGAGGTCTTTATTAAAACCGAGTTACGAACATAGTAAACCGTAACGCACAGTACTTAATCTTTCGTTAAGTAAATTTTAGAAGTAATAATCAAAAATTAGATTATTAGAACTAGATATTTAATCATGGCCGGTCAGGGGCCGGCCTTAATTGGAAGTAATATATATATTTTATTTAATATTTATAAGTATCTTTATTAAATTTGCTGGAATATGTATTGCACATGTATAGATTATGATATTTTATTAAATTGGAAGTGGTTGTGATGCTTTTTGTTTTAGACGAGAATATTCTTTAATTACATTTGGATCTACTATAAATGAATTTTTATCTAAATTTATTATTTGAACATGTTGCCATTTTGAACATTTGCTGATTGCTGTATATGCTTGACCAGGTATAAATAGTTGGCTAATATCTATTGAAATAGAATGTAAGGTAAGACCCTGTGTTTTATGAACTGTTAAAGAAAATGAGTTTTGTAATGGAAACTGTGTTCTAGATGCATGTTAACCCCTGAATAAAAGTAGGATGTTTCTCTTGTAATACATCTTTGAATAATTGCATCATGTACACAAAACGCTATTTGTACACTTGGTTGTTATTTATCTATATTAGTGATTACACTGATAGTTCCATTGCATATACCTTCTTTTATTAATGAGTTATTTAGATACATAACTCGTGCACCTTGTTGGAGTCTAACTATTGGTAGCATGTTTGTTTTTGTTTTAATTCTGTTTGAACAAGTTCTGGTGATACTTGTTTATCTTCTATAAAATCTATAGCTTCTGCTAATAAATATTTTCATTATTAATTGGAAGTAGGTTGCAAATTGTATTGTTGATTTGTTTTGATGTTTCACAATATCTAACATCATGTGTTGTTATTAATAATGAATCTAAAGATTGATTATTATTATAATTTGTAGCTTTTTCTATAAGTTTTGTTCAGGTTGCATTTGATATTTTTCCAAATCTAATTTCTTTTAACATTTTATAAAATTCATTATCTTCATTATGTCTTTAGGATTTATACAAAAATAAAGGATGAAATAATTGCCATACTGATGAATAAAATACAGCTTCACCTCTTACTGGTAGTAATTGTATCAAATCACCTAAAACTATTATATAAATACCTTCAAATACTATATCAGAATTGTGAATTCTAGCAAATAAATCAGAAAAAAAATTAAATAATGAAGCAGAAATTATTGATATTTCATCTATAATTAATACTTAAATTTTCTGTAATTTTTTTTTAAATTCAAGTTCATAAAAAGCTAATTATTGATAGCCTGATTCTGTTTAGTGTTCCTAATGAGTCGAGTTGAGTCGAATTTTAAGTCAAAATTATTCTACATACCTTTAATTTAAAGTACTTATTTATTATGTGTAACTAAAATTTACAATTATGCACAATCATGCGAGTCAAATATGTGAGTTTATGCAAGTCATTTTCGGAATTTTAATTCTGTTTATACTATTTTAAGTATAGAATGAATAGTAAATCCTTCAACATTTTGTGCAGCTATTCCTGTTAATGCTATTAAAAGATAAGTTTTTCTTTCTGATTTTATCCAATCAATAATTAATTTTGTTAAATATGATTTTCCAATTTTATCAGATCCTGTAATAAAAAAAAATAGATATTTTTTAGATTGTGATATTGGTTTAAAAGTAAATATAATTGTATTATATATAATGTATTGTTCTTCTGGTAAGTTTAATATTGCATTTGACAAAAATGTTGATGGTATTAATTTTAAATTATCTAATTATTTGGTAAAAATTTTTGATATTTATGAAGTAATTTTGCCTTCAAAGTTTTTTAATACATTAGTTATGATTGTGTTAAATTGATTTTGTAATAAATATCTGTTTTTTCCTACTATTGTATTTATAAAATTTTGAATTGAATTCTGAAAATCTGGATGTAAATATAAATATTTTTCTTGATAAAATATAAAATTACAAGTAATTCATCTTCTGATATGCAAGGTATTATTAGAAGTAATTGTTAATAAAAATATAATGCTCCATTCTGAATTTTAAGTTATTTGTAATGTATAATTAATGGAGATGTTCTCTTGACAACATAATAGTTTAAATCATCTCTATAAATTTCATTATTTGAAGATTTTTTGATTAATAATGTATAATTTTTAAAATAAACAGAATAAGTAATATTATCAAATTGTTATCATGTGAACATGCAAAATATTTTTCAATTATATCTTTTCAATATAGATCATCATCATCTTTTAATATTGTTGATATTGGTCTTATTATATATGTACGAGTTATTGGTAGTTCAGTAAATAGGTATTTTACTTTTACTGATGATTTGCATATTGTTTTATCAAGTAATAAAAATATACATTCCATTGAACTTAATCGTCAAGCAATTATATGCTCACAATACTTATTACCTTCTAATATATTAAATATATATGAAGGTTCTGATTTGACAACATATTTGGTTAAATATTTACCAAGATTTTTAGTATTCACATATTGTATATTCATATGAATATTCCATAATAAAAGTATAGGTAAATGGTAAAAAACTACCTATCTATCTTTTTTAGTTATATATCGATATATATATTTAGATTCTTTAGTATTATAGTATGTAATTAGAGAATATAATCGAAAAAAGTTTTTTTTGCATATTTGACCTAGAGGTGTCAGTTCACCATACTTTCTAGGATTATATATATGAATTTGATATGTTAATACTAATTGGTAAAGTTCTAATTCAAAGTTTTGATTTGATAAATCAGATCTAATTAGATTTTTTGCTATAATTTCTATTATACTTTTTTTAATCCAAAGTATTGAATTTGTATGTGATGCTTTTTTATTTTGAAATTTTACACGTTCAAAAAAATGATTAAGATGATCTCAATTACTATTTGCAGGTTTTTTCCAAATATGATTCTAAATTTTTTTTTTGTGATATATAAAATACAGAGTTATATCTAATGGTTTATTATCAGTATTATATTTTTATTATCTGTTGATTTTAATATCTCTTTTAAATGAGTCTATTTAGATTCTGCTGCAGTTAAGGTAATAAAAAATGATAGTAATTTATATTCTTTCATCATAGCATTTACGTGTAAAAGTTTTTTATTAAAATATATATCTCCTATTCATATAAATAATAGTAATATAGTTATTTTTATTTTATTAATCATATATTTTCCTAAATATATACTACGTGTAATAAGTTCAGAAGCTATTAATAAATAATATATTTTATCTGATTCTTTTTGATACCAAAGATGCATTATATTTTGATGATTTCACAGCTTTTCTAATCTTAAGTATGAGTAGTGTGGTCAGTAAGAATATAAATGAAATCTTGAATCAATATATAATAGATGATGTTTATATATTTTCTGTATATTTCTATTTTTATTGAATCATCATCAGAAGTAATTGCATTTTGATCAAAAAAGTGATCATTTCTATCAGGAAATAGATCTGGAAATAATAATAGTTCAAGATTTAGATTATCAAAAGAAAGTAATAATGTTGTAGTTGATATTTGTACAAAACCAGCTATTAGATGAGTGTAGTGAAAATCTTCATTATGTATTTCTATTGAAAATTTATTGATGGTAAAACAATGTCTCCTTTTTAAAAAGATAGAGCATTTATATCAGAAGGAAATAAGCTGCTATAGGAAATAGATTTAAATATGTTTCTGTAAGAAAGGATGATATCAAAAGTAATCTGATAAATGATTTTAAATATTTATTATATTGTTTAAGCCAATTTGTAATAGCATATAATTCTGGAATAAATCACGAGAAATTTTTATTGTTATTATAATTTTCTAGATTAATTAAAAATGCTTCTAATATTTCAGAATATAATTTTAATGCACGTATATTTTTAAAAATTCTATATTTCCTACCAAAGTACGATATTCTGTATATTTATTTGCATCTAAATTTTTACTAAGAGAACAATATAAGAATATTAGAAAAAGAAATCATTTTTGTTTAATTGGTATAACTTCAATTATATTAGATATAGAATAAAGTTGTGGGCATATATAATACTTTTTATTGTTTTTATAACTTTCACATACACATATAGTATATAATAAACCTTCACCTTTTATATATATATTAACATTTGAAAAGTTTACTTCAAGTGAGTATGTGTAGTTTTCATTATATGAAATCTATTTAGCTTTAGTAGGATACAGTAATTTTGCACAATATGCATAAGGTAAGCAAATGTATTGATATAAGATTGTATTTTGAAAGTGTATGTAAAGTTTACATAAATATTGAGATGATTTTTATAGAAGTAATAAATTAATATTTAAGTTTGATAAGTTTTAGTTAATTTGTGAAAGATGTAAATTAGAATTTAATATTATATTTGAATTATATAAACTTTCATCATTATAAAAGCTAATTTGAAAGTTACTTGTAGAATTTTGTGAGAAAGATGAAGATTCTTATGAATAATAATCAAA